TGTGAATCGACGTTATAACGCAATTTTCTGCGAATGTCAGCGTCTCGATGTACACTCCCGCTTGGAAGTCTTGAGGTACTTTTATTTTTATTATATTTAGTACTTATCGTCGGTCATCGTGTACACATATTTTATCATACAAATATAGTACTTGTCTAGATTTCTAAGCGGGAACACGCATGGACAATTTTTGCGAAGCATGTTTCTGCGATCTGTTTGTCGGTATAATGCGTCTGAGTCTTATAAATAAACTGTGGATTTTGCAACGCACGAATCTACAAAAATATTCAAAGTGTTTTATGGAATATTCAGTCGATGATAGATAACAGATGATTTTATGGAATATACAGTTTTAGTCCGTTCCATTTCTTCAGTTACGTTCATAAATATATAAAAGTGCATAAAGATTCTCAGTCCACTTATGAGAAATCCCACCTTCATCCGATGCAATCGATGTGCCGACGCACAAGCCACTCGTTGTCCGAGATGGGAAACGTATGAACGCACGGGCGCAGCTGGAAAGATGCATCTGCTGGTGGGATTCTTGGAATTTGTGGAAATATTTACGATCGATGATGGATCTAAAATACATACGTAGTTGAACGTAGATCGAAAATAAATAGTAAGAAGCAGTGTGAAAGTTACTCGTGTTTTACGAGAAATTACGCTAGAAATGAAGTATACATTAAATCAAACTGTAGATTTCCATTTTATTGGAAAAAATATTGACATTTGCAAATTTGACACCGGAAAATTTGCAAATTTTTTAAAAATCGAAATACAATTTGGTTAGAAATCGCAATATAGATCGAGAATAGATCAAAAGTGGTTGGATGATTGGCGTTTTGAGATTCATTCAGCTGCGAGACATTCATTCATAGCGACCGACAGTGGAACGCTCGATTCGAGCTAGTGATAAGCGATACCTTATGTTGTGTACATACGTTTTATGTGTTAGACTCAAACAGTTTTGAAGTATCACTACAAGCTGCATGTCTGCAAGATAATGCATTAT